AACAAAACATAATGGAGCACTAAGAGAAACTAAAACAAATAAAGCCAATAAAGACAATGCTCACATGAGTTTACTTTACTAAATTCAAAAAACATTAAAGTTCTAAATTTCACTAAGAACTAGTGTTACTTAAAACAATTTTCAGAAACTCCTTCCTTAATTCATGAGTATCCATAGTGAAAAAAGAGTCACAAAGATTGTTGTTTTTGGTGATAAGCATAGCAGTCCTTACCACATCTACCGCATGTAATCCTTCTATTTCTTTTAAAATAGAGACAATTTGATTCCTCCTATCAGCCGTGTGTTTTTTATGCAGAAAACAAGATATAAGTTGTTGCATATTCTCCACACTTCCAGCATAAAACTCACTTAATTGGTTCAATGAAGTTAATAAGCTATCATAAACATCATCATTATGCTTTACCCTTTTGCCTGCACATTTTCCAATCTTACTTGAAGTAATCTCACATTGTGATTGGTTTACTTGACTTGGTGCTTGAGTATCATTATAGGTAGGTGGTTCTGGTACTTGTGACTCATAATAATTCTCTTCACCTTCATTCAAATTGAATTTAAACTTACTCTCTTGTGTTGATTGGAAAAATTCATTCACGATATTATAAGCATGTTTTGCTGGACTTTCTGATGCATGACCAGATGCTTTATCTTTTCCAAATACAACATCCAAGTTGTTAACGTGTGGAAATGTTTTTCCATATAAATCAGTTGTAGTAGGATGAGACTGAATTGAAGTAAACATGTATGAACTATAAATATATTTGGAAAAGCATAAACTAAAATATATTATATGGTTAGAATTTGAAATGAAATATCACCTTGCACCATTGGCTATAAACCCCCTTCTCTACTACAATCATCTTCTTAGCATCATCCCACCCAAAGTCACTTGCACTTGAACCCATCATATCTTTTGTTGCTGAATATTGAGATTTTAGATGTTTCACTCTTGATTCAATGTGAAGGTTAGCTTTTAATGTGCAGTTTGGATTTTTCTATGGAGATACTTTTCTAACACTTTAGTATATCCTGGTTTAAAAGTGCCTGCATCTGCCTTCTACCCGTCATCCACTAATTATAATAAACCTTTGACTAATATATCATCTTCTTCTGCAGTCTATTGTCACTTTGTGCTTTTTGTATTTTGGTTTTCAGATGAAGCATCCATCTATTCAAAATAGAGCACCAGTTAACATTTACTACATAAAACATACCACTATAAAAGTACAAAAGTACATTGTGACCTCTACTCTCTAGAGTAGCGCAAAGACAAACCTGTTGTACTATTGTATACCAATCTCACCATGACCGTTGGAAACAATACAACTGTATTTGTATTTCCTATTCTATCCTCCAACAAATCTCTTCTTTTCAGCTATAAAAGAAGTACTTGGAAGAATTTGAAATCAATGAATCATTTCAACAAAACTATACTAAATCACTGCACAAAAACTCTGTAGAGAATCTTTTGTATAGTTTTGTAAATAAGCAAGGAGTTGTTGCTTGTATCTTTCTATCAACACTTTTGTGTTGTTGTACTTAAACATTGTGTAATCTGCTTGTGTAAAAGCATTTATATATGCACATATTTGTAATCAACTATTGTTTATAGGTTCCTCGAGAGACTCTGCGTAGTCTGGATTCTTAAGAAGACTTTGGCTGCGGTTATAGTAGTTCGCAATAAGGATCAACAGATTTATTGGGGGTTTCAATAGGGTTGATCGGCCTTATTGTGGTTGTCTGTAATCTGGTTGATTATAGTGGATTAAGTCCTTGTGTATAAGACAAATCATCTTGTGGGGTGGACTAGAGTAACTTTGTTAACAGTGAACCAAGATAAAAATAATTGTGTTCATCTATTTTTATTCACTTGTTAGCTTTGTGTTTTGAGTTGCAAAAAGATTATATTTGGTGCAACCCAATTCAAACCCCCATTTCTTGTGTTTCTTGCACCATCAATTGGTATCAGAGTTCAGGTTATGGTATTGATATCTATCAAACACTTAACCATGTCAGATAAAGATCCAGACGAGTTTTAGAAACACTATGGTTGATCCTGGTCCACAACCACCTGCTCCGGTTTCTGAAAAAGATAACTATAATGCTAAACCTCCCATTTTCGATGGTGAAAAGTTTGAGTACTAGAAAGATAGACTAGAAAGCTTCTTTCTAGGCCATGATGTTGATCTCTGAGATATGTTAGTCGATGGCTACAAACATCCCACAAATTCAAATGGAAAGCGGCTTGAAAGGAAAGTTATGACTGATCAACAAAAGAAGAATTATAAGAATCATCATAAAGCAAGAACTATCTTGCTGAATGTTACTTCTTACACTAAGTATGAGAAGATCACAAATAGAGACTCAACTAAGTCTATATTCGACTCTCTCAAAATGACGCATGAAGGAAATGATCAAGTCAAGGAAACCAAGACTTTGGCCTTGATTCAGAAGTATGAATCCTTCAAGATGGATGATGATGAAACAGTTGAGATTATGTTCTCAAGATTTCAAACCTTGGTTGCAGGACTGAGAGTTGTAAACAACGAATATTCAATAGTAAATCATATGAAGAAGATTATAATAAGCTTTCCAACCAAATGGAGGCCTTTGCTAACTGTGCTCAAGCTTGCAAAGGATTTGAACATCACTTATCTAGAAGAACTGGTGAGTTCTCTAAGAAGTCATAAGATTGAGCTAGATCATGATGAACCTCATAAAAGAGGAAAATCTATTACGCTCAAATTCGTTAGAAGATATGAGAAGTACAAAGTTTTTCAAGCTGGAGAGATTGAGGATTCAAAAGAAGATTCTGATGAAGATGAAGATGAGTCATCTCTACTATCCGGAAGGGTTAACCGTCTCTGGAAGAGAAATCAAGGAAACATGTTTAGAAGTACTAGAAGGACAGGATGTCGTTTCGAGTATACTTCTGATCATAGGAAGTCTAATAGAAAAGAAGTCACTTGTTATGAGTGCAACGAGCCAGGACACTAAATGAATGATTGTCCCAAACTGCAGAAGGACAAGCCCAAGAAGAAAGCTCTCAAGAGCAAGAAGAAAGAGTTGATGGAAACCTGGGATGATTCTGACTCTTCAGAAGACGACTCAGAAGAAGAATGTGCTAATGTGGCACTGATGGCTCAAGTTGGAACGTTTGTTGAAAGGATCCATCTAGAAGATGAAGCAGAATCAGATTCAGACACGTAAGAGGTATTCTCCAAAGAGGTGTTTTCTGACCTTACCCATTCTGAATTAACTTTATCTTTAGTTGAAATTCTAGAAAAACATGAGTTACTTTTAAGATTGAATTCAAGGAACTTAAAAAATCCTTTGAATCCACATCTCTTGAAAACAGTAAGCTTAAGGAAGATATCTCTATTTTAAATGAAGAAAACTTCTTTCTCAAAGATGAGAACTCTACCCTCAAAGGCACGAGAATCCTTCTAGAAGCTTTTGAGAGTACTCATGATGTCATTATGAAATATGACAAAGCCTTCCAAAAATTCCTAGCTAGAAGCATATGGAAAAGCATGATGGCTTCTATAATCTATGGCATGAGCAGAAATAGAACCAATGGTATTTGTTATAACTCCTATGAAGAATCTAATTATGAAAAGGAAGACAAACCTAATACTCTTCATTCCTATTTTTCCTTTGTTAGGTTTGTGCCTAAAGATAAGGGAAAAGAAAAAGAGGAATCTGCTTCTGAACCTAAGGTAAAACATTTGGCTAAAACATCAAAGTTTAATTCCTGCAAATATGATTATTCTGCTGTTAACCCCAAAGTTTTCAAAAACTCTATGGGAACTAACAAGCGAGGACCCAAGAAATTATGGGTACCTAAGACTCACATTATCTATGATGTAGATCTTCTTAGCAGCGTAGTTGAAACACCTTTCATGGTACCTGGACTCTGGCTGCTTGCAACACATGGAGGAAAGAAGTCATATGTACCTAAGCCTGGAACTTAAAGCCTATAGGAAGTATGAAAATAGAGGTGATCAGAAGGGAAGATTTTAGTCATCGAAATTTATTCCCTATCAGATTCTGGATTTGTCGTGTTATTCAATAAAGAAAGTTTATGACAAATGAAGAAAATATTTACACTCTGCACACAATCCTTCATAGAATCAGATACATTTCCAAGGTATGTATCATTCTAGTAATATTTGTTTTTAGGATCTCATATCATCAGAAGTATCCCCTTCAAAAATACTCAATTAACGAATATCTTTGTTTGATGATTATTAAAGAGATCCTTACATTAAATGTGTTGTCAAAAAATGAAAGGTTAGTGATTCAATTTAAGACAATTGTCTATTCTGAACCATGCCTTGCATTTAACGTGATGCTTTGGGTAGCGAGATTATCTTAAGATTATAGTGATAAATCTTTACACTTTCCTATATGTCATATCAGTTTCACTATTCTAGGATTAGTAATCATTCCTAAATTTTCTTCAAAAACCTCTCACCTAAGCTCATACGATTTTACCTTCTTTCCCATACACTGTCATCTTTTAAACCCTAAATTCCTAAAAACCCTAAAACCATCTGTTCTAATTTGCTCTTCTCTAAAAATAGTTTCATCCTCGTCAAATGATCTACAATCTCTCCAACAACAACAACAACCTCGAGAAAATTATGATTTTATCATAACTTTGGTGATTCCAAATTGACCAACTTTACGTTATCTCCGAGTTGATAGTAGACTTTGAAAATCTTGCTACTCATGGTTTTGACCTATATAATACGTTGAACTCTCAAGGATGGGAAACCTACTTCAATATTCTAAAAGGTCTTACATTTCCTGGTCTTGTAAAAGAATTTTAGTCTAACGCCTTCATCTCAAACCAAGGCCAAATTTTCTCCAAGATCTTTGGGAAAGACACCTGCATTTGTGAAGAAGACATTGCCAAACTCATCCATCATAGTGGCTCAGGTGTACGTTGTCATAGAAATAGAGTAGCTTGGGAAACACAAAGGAATATAACCTATGAAGACATTGTTCAAAATATTAGTCCAGTCATCTTCAGAGTTGGTAAAGACTCTCAAAAGGCATATGACCTTTTTGATATCTTAAGAGTATGGTTCAGAATTTATCCTAGCAACGTCTTTCACAGAACTTCAACGAATTTCATTAATCACATTGATATAGATCACAAGTTCATGATGTACAACTTGACCTTAGGTGAATATAACAACATATCGGGATGTCTCACAACTTATTTGCATGGTGCTATCAGATTCTCCAAGAAGATTTCCAAAAATAAAAGGAGTTGGATTCCTTATGGAAGGTTAATCTCTATTATCTTAACCGAAAGTCAGTTTGCAAAAAACGTGAACCCTCAAGCTTTATCAGAAGTTTTGACCGGTAAACCCCTCAGGGGTAAGGACTTTCTTGAAATGTCTTCAATCTCAAGTGTAGTCAAGTTACCTGAAGATTTGAACCTAATGGAAATTTCTCAAAGAAAAACCCCTCTAGAAAATTCCCCTACATTCCTTCCTGAAATAATCATTCAAACCCCTCTTTCTGTCTCTCCTACAATTTCTCCTAATGAGAAGAAGAAAAAGAAGAGGAAACGATCAAAGAGAAATTATCCTGATGATTCTTCTAAGCATAAGAAGAAATCCAAGAAACTCAATTCCAAAGTACAAACTCTTGTAGTTAAGAAAGATGGTCTAATTATCATTGATACTTGTGATACAGTGGCAGAACCGACTGTTAATACTAGTTTTGCATTTGTGTTCGCAAATGTCACGATAAGAAAGAGTCGCCGCCGACTTTTCTTTTATCCAAATCAAGGAAAGGGTGAAAAGAATAGAAAAGACCTTTTTGAGAGTTTTCTGAGTAAGGGGGTAGATTATGGAAAGGGAAGGTGTTAGCACCCTTTTCTATCCGTAGT